ACAAGATAATGAAAAATGATGTTGGAGCCTAATTTCTCCTCACACATTTTTATATAGTGAGATTTGTGTTATCCAGCACTCACCAGGGGTGGGTAGTGCTGGTAAATCAAAAACACTACGTAGCACTTAATACCTCAGCTATTTGGGAGACTTATCGCAGCTGGTTCTTTTACAATCACTTCAGACTGACAACACCTGTATTTTCCACAGAACTTTGACATTTGTTAAGATCATTTAAAACCTGTCAATGTTAAAAACACATGGCCGTAACTATTCTAGACCATCAGATTAGCGCAGTCAGCTTGTCATTATGATAAAGGCAGAGCTTGAGTGTTACAAAGAATGAGTTTTAAACAAAATCAAAGGTTAGTTTTATTACACAACTACTGTTGATAGTTACTTGTTAAAATATATGTAGTTGAAATGTAGACATGGATAAAAGATATTTGTAAAAATGACAGTAAGGTCAATCTGTCATCATTACTTGTCCTGACTGCTTTTGAAGATTTCTCTTGCCCAGCTGAAGGAATTGTAAAACTGAAGCCACAGTTCTGCAGCTGCTCTGGTTCCTGTGGTTGAATAGTTTGGATGTTGCTTGTACATATGAACTGAGCAGAATGGGCTCAGAAAGCACATGAAGTCTTCTTTGCTTCACATTTACAACACTGCAGTTTGTAGCCTGGTTCAGTATAGAAGTCCTTTCTGAAAACAATAGATGCTGGAGATCACAGCAGGTCAGGCAGCGTCCATTGAGAGAGAACAAGGTAACATTTCGATTCTAGATGACATGTTATCAAAGCAAAGTGAAGTGTGGAGGGGGCAGCATTCATGCTATAGTTGGATGGGCGTGGTGGAGTGTAGAGTGCTGGGGGAGAAGGGATGTTGATCGTTCAGATTATGTGATCGGAATGTAAGACTGACAGAACAATTGTATGTCTAACTGCCAGACTTGAAAGGACGAACAGTCTTACTGGGGTGAAGAGAGGGGAGAAAGGACATGGTGACAGAGAATGTAACAAGTAAAGCTGAAAGAAAGGGAAGGAATGGGAGTTGGTTTACAATTTGAAGATGTTGAACTCAATATTAAGTCCAGAAAGCTATAACGTGCCTAGTCTGAAGATGAGATGTTGTTCCTCCAGTTTGCTCTGTGATTCACTGGAGCACTGCAGCATGCCAAGGACAGACAAGTGGGTATGCGAGCAGGATGCTGTGTTAAAATGACTGGCTGCAGGAAGGTCGGGGTTATGCTTGCGCACAGACTGGCGGTGTTCTGCAAAGTGGTCACCCAGTCTGCGTTTGGTTTCTCCAGTGTAGAGTAGGCCACATTGGATGCAGCGAATACAATAAACAAGGTTGGAGGAGGTATAGGTGAAATGCTGCTTCACCTGGAAAGATTGTTTAGGCCCTTGGATGGTGAGCAGGGAGGAGGTGAAGGGGCAGGTATTGCACCTTCTGGGTTATGTGGGAATGTGCCGTGGGAAGGGGTGTGGTGTTAGTAGTCGATGAATGGACTGGGAAGTCCCACAGGTAATGATCCCTGCGAAATGCAGAAGGGGGAGGGGCAGATGTGTTTGATGGTTGCGTTCTGCTGGAGTTGTCTGAAATGGCAGAGAATGAGTGATGGGAAGGGGCAAGAGCAGAAGCACGGATGATAGGTTGGATTCGATTGAGAGCCCTGTCAACCACAGTGGGCAAGAAAACATGGTTATAGAAGAAGCAAGTCATGTCAGCAGCGCTGTTTTGGAAGGTGGCATCATCCAACCAGATGCAACTTAGGTTCAAGGAACTGGGAGAATAGAATGGAATCCTTGCAGGCTGTGGCATTTGAAGTGCTGTAGTGAACGTAGGTATGGCAGTCAGTGGCTGTGTAGTGGATGGCAGTGGACAGTTTATTCCCCAAAATGGAGATGGAGAGGTCAAGGAAAGGAAGGGAAATGTTGGAAATGGAAATGTAAACGTTATAGACGGGTGGAAATTGGAGGCAAAATGAACAAATTTTTCAAGGTCCAAGCGGGAGCATGAAGTGGCGCCGAGGCAGTTGTTGATGTTCTGAGAAAAAGAGTTGTGGGAGGGAGTCAATGTAGGACTTGTACAAGGATTGTTCCACAGGCAGAACTGAAATCCATGAGTGCCCATAGCCACTCCTTTGACTTGGCAGGTGTGAGATGAATTAAAGGAAAAATTGTTTACTGAGAGAACAAGTTCAGCCAGGTGAAGGAGAGTGGTAGGGGATGAGGATTGGTCAGGCCTCTAGTCGAGAAAAAAGCCGAGAGTTTGCAGACCATCCTCGTGCACAATGGAGGTATAGATGGATTGGACATCCATGGTGAATGGGAGGTAGTTAGGGCCAAAGAACTGGAAATTGTTAATAAGGTGGAAGGTATCAGAGGAATCATGGATGTGGGTGGGTGGGGTCCGGACAAATAGAGAATGGAGTCAAAGTAAGAGGAAATGAGCTCGGTGAGGCGAGGGGCCCCACAACGGGCTTCCACAACATGGTTTGCTTCTTCTATGACTGTCGTTTCCTGCCCACTGTGGTTGACAGGGCTCTCAATCGCATCTGACTTATCATCTGTGCCCCGCCCTTGCCCCTTCCCATCACTCTCAACAGCGTTAGCATATCCCCCTTGTCCTCACTTTTCATCCCACCAGCCTCTGCATTCAAAGGATCATTCTGTGCCGTTTCAGACAACTCCAGCAGAATGCCACCACCAAACACATCTTCCCCTCATTCCCCTGTCTGCATTTCACGGGGATCGTTTCCTCCAGGACACCCTAGTCCATTCATTGACTACCAACACCCTTCCCCGCTTCCCATGTAACTGCAGAAGATGCAACACCTGCCCCTTCACCTCCTCCCTGCTCACTATCCAAGGCCCTAAACCGTGTTTCCAGGTGAAGCAGCATTTTAACCTGTACCGCTTCCAATCTTGTGTATTGTATTCACTGCACCCAATGGAGAAACCAAATGCAGACTGAGTGACCACTTTGCAGAACACCCCTAGTCTGTGCGAAAGCATGACCCTGACCTTCCTATAGCCGGTCATTTTAACACAGCATCCTGCTCACGTGCCCACTTGTCTGTCCTCTGCATGCTGCAGTGCTCCAGTGAATTACAAAAACAAGATCTCACCTTCAAACTAGGCACTTTACAATCTTGAACTTAATATCGAGTTCAACACCTTCAAATTGTGAACCAACTCCCACTCCTTTCCTTCCTTTTAGCTTTACTAGTTACATTCTCTGTGACCATGTCTTCTCTCCCCTCTCCCCACCCCAGTGGGACTGTCTGTTCTTTCAAGTCTGGCAGTTAGATGCACCATTGTTCTGCCTTTCTCACATTCAGATCACTTAATCTGAACTATCAACATCCTTTCTCCCCCAGTACTGTACATTCTACCTCAATGCTGCCCCCTCCATACTTCATTTCAGCTCTGATGAAGTGTCATCTAGAGTTGAAACATTAGCTTGTTTTCTCTCCATGGATGCTGCCTGACCCACTGTGATCTCCAGGATTTGTTGTTTTCAGAACAGATTGCAGCATCTGCAGTAATTCGCTCCTACATGGAACTCATTTCACTGGTTTGCCTTCCTTTATCTCTCTGTTGAGATCTCTCTCTCTCTGATGTTACTCACAGGATTCTTCTGGAATTCTGCCAAAATGTTTCAAAACTTACGGTGGCTACCATCCCCGAACTGTTGTATCATGCTTCCATATTAAACAGTAAATCTGTCTATCGCTGTCAACTTTTAATTACCTCAGCCAATAATATGGATGGTTCTCAGGTTGCAGTGAGCTAGGAGGAGCTGTTCACACTTCCAGGAAAATTATTGTTAGCTAGTTTCTGTTACCTTTTGAAATGTTCATTGAATTACAAAAAAGATGTCTTGTGATCTTTTTTCCCTGAAATAGGTACAGTATATTCCCAATGCCAGCTATTATGATTCCAAGCAATTGTAATATTTGATAGTTCATTTTCTGTTTCTGTTTCTGCTGGGTTTTTTTTTGTTAAGCAAACTCTATGTTCCATCTTAAACAATTTAAAGTCCCTTGAATGAAACCTGGCTTGATAGATCATACATTTAATTTTTACGTTGGTTAACATGTTGGTTAGCCTCTGAACCATATTCAGATGAGGTTGCAGATAATCTTTAACAACTGACCATATGTTTATTGCACAAAAGAGCAAATCAACGAACAGAGTTATAAATATACATATACATGAAGACTATTCAAAAGATCTTTACGTGAACATCAAAACAAAGTTTCAGCCTGTTTCCACAACATTTGTTTCAGAGACTCAATACTAGAGAAATATCACTCTCGTTTGCTGGCATAAACCTGCTAGAATTCTATTAGCCGAAATTTTCCCAGTTCTAGTAAGTTGAAGACTTCTATCTCAGATCTCCTAACTTGAAAACTCCACAATAAAACATTACAGCTGGGAATGAATAGTTCCCTTGAATGGATTTGATTCACCTGCAAGGCAAAACTGATCTGGTCGTTCTGAACTGAAACTTTGAACTTTCAGTTCAAAGTGAAAGGTAATTGCCTTAATGTGGTTACGTTGCTTATCATAAGCCCAACAGTGTAAATATTTTATCCATTAACACCACAGGGGTTCTCCCACGCTCATGACTACATGACTACATGACTACATGCTTGCTTGGGACTGATGTATTTGGGTCATTTGTTCAAATGACTTAGTGAGCTTTTAAAAAATACTCTCAGAACTGATTCACCTTCACTTGCCTCTAGTTTGAATTCCAAATCCAAACACCTTTCATTATACAGCTTAATTCACAAGAGAAGTTATGTGGCTTCTGAGAGGCATTTTTTGGATTTTGTGACCATTATAAATAGATTTGGCTTCTTTCCAAAATGTGTTATGATTACATTCATGACAACTGTCTTCTCACCCCTCTCCATCCTGCACTCCTTCACTGGCTGTGGACAAACTGAGAACAGTCCTGATCTCTTGTCATTTGGATTGTTACAGGTTTTGTACAGTGGCTGCTAGAGCTGAGTGTCTCTTCTCTGCTGCCAAGTCTGAACTACCAGAGGAAGAAGACAGCATTACTGCTGATGGAGGCCCTGCTCGAGACCTGTACAGACAGCTGGAGCCCAAACAAAAGGAAAGGACAGCCACCTCGTAAGAATCAGGAACACTTTTTGTTGGTTGACTGAAGGGAAGTTACCCAATACCATTGGGAAAATCCTCAGCACCTTCAGGAAACGAGGACACAAATGTTTCTTAGAATCCCTACAGTGCAGAAAGAGGCTCTGAAGAACATCCCACCCAAACCCAGTCTCCTATCCTATCCTCATAACCCTGCATTTACCATGGCTAATCTATCTAGTCTGCACATCTGTAGATACTATAGACAATTTAGTGTGACAATCCACCTAACTTGCATATCTTTGGACAGTGGGAGGAAATCAGAGTAACTGGTGGAAGCCCACACAGACACGTGCAGTGTATGTTAAACCTAGGGGCCACAGTAGGTGCTTTCTGTGCAGGTAACATTCTGCAGCTTAGCTTAAAGCTGAGATTCAGGATTCACTTTGGGGTTCCATTCTCTGGCTGTATTATATGTACTTGTGAATCAGATTGACATGTGGCAAGTGATTAATACCCACATCTCCATCTTCTCTACCGAATGAGGCAGACTTACTTGGTCACCTGATTGGTATCGGGCTTCTTTGATGAAATGAAATAAAAGCAGAGAATGTGCTGAAAACTCAGCAGGTCTGGCAGTCTCCATGGAGACAGAAACAGAGTTAATGTTTTGAGTCCAAAATGACTCTTCGTTCGAACTGAAATGAGCTGGAAATTACCATGTTTTATAGAAGACATGCGTGAAACAAATGAAGAAGGTGCCTAGAGCAAAAGACAAATGAAGTACTAATGGTGGTGAAGGAGAAATTTAGATATAAAAAGGAATGAATGCTAGATTTGAAAAGGAGAAAATGGGTCTGCTATGCTGAGAGCAAAGCCACCAAGATACACAGAAGAGACAGAATGAGGGTTGGCGTTGTATTTAGAATGGAAGAGAAAGGGTATAGCCTGAAGGTGTTAAATGCAGTATTGATCCCTGAAGGCTGTAAAGTGCCTAAATGGAAAATGAGTTGCACCTCCTCTGGCTTCTGTTGTGCTTCATTACATCTCTGCAGCAGACCCAGTATGGAAAAGTTAACATGGGAACAAGGAAAGTTGGGTGGAAAAATGCAGGTGGAGTTTAATATGGGCAAGAGTGAGCTGAAGTATCTGGAGAGGTCAAATGCAAGAGGAATGTATACAGTAAATGGTGACACTTAGGAGCATTGATGTACAGGGGAATGTTGGTTTGCAAGTCCATAGCTCTCTGAAAGTGGTAACACAAGTGGATAAGGTGGTAAAGAAGGCAAATGGCATTTTCACCTTCATTGGTCAGACCATTAAGTACAAAAGTTGGCAAGTCATGTTGCAGCTGTATAAAACCTTAGTAAGGCCATGTTTGCAGTCCTGTGCACAGTTCTGGCTGACACACTTAAGGAAGGTTGTGGAGGCTTTGGAGAGGGTGCAGAAGCAGTTTGCCAAGATGTTGCTGGATTAGAATGTATTATCTATAAGGAGAGGTTGAACAAACTTGCATTGTTTTCTCTACAGTGTCGGAAGCTGAGGGGGCGACCTGATAGTAGTATATAAAATCATGAGGATCATGATGAAGATGGATATTTGAAGTCTTTTTTTTCCCAGGGGTGGATAATTGGAGTCTTTTTCCCAGGATGGAAATGTCAAATACTATGGGGCATAGATTTAAGATCAGAGGGAAAAGTTTGAAGGAGATGTGCAAGGCGGATTTTTTACACAGAAGGTGATAGGTGCCCAAGAAAGGTGGTGAAAGCAGATATGGTAACAATATTTGAGGCATTTAGACTAATACATGAACAGACAAAGAATAGAGGGATATGGACCGTATGCAAACAGATGGAATTATTTTAGAATGACATCGTGGTCAGCACAGACACTGGGCTACAGGGCCTGTTCCTGTGCTGTACTGTTTTGTGTTCAAGGTGATTTATTGAAATGATAAGAAACTGGAAGGTCAGGGTCATTCTTACAAACAGAGTGGAAATGTACAGCTAAAAGGCCACGCAGTCTGCATTTGGTCTCACCAGTGTAAGGGAGACAGCACAATGTGTAGTGAATATAGTAGACCAGATCAAAAGAAGTACAAGTAAATTGTTGCTTCACCTGGAAAGTGAAAGAGTAGTCTTCAATATTGAGGAGAGACCAGGTGAAAGAGCAAGTGTTACACCTTCTGCGAGTGTATGCAAAGATGCCATGTGATGGGGAGAGATGGTGAGAGAAAAAATGTTAGGGCTGATGAAGGAATGAACCCCATGTCACACAATGAACAGTCGCTGCAGAATGTTGGCAGTGGAGTGGAGAGGAATGTGTTTGATGGTGTTCTCCTGCTGGATTTGGTGAACAAGGCAGGGATGATTCCTTGAAAGTGGAGACTGATGGGGTGAAAGTGAGGGGAACGCTATCATTGTTCCTTGAGGAGAGAGCCGGGTGAGGGCAAAAGTTTGAGAAATAGGTTGCATTTGGCTGAGGGCCCTGTCAACCTTGGTGACAACATTCTTTGGTTGAGGTCGAAGGAGGACATTGCAGAGGCAGCCATGTCAAAGGTGGTATAAACAGAATAAATGCAACTGAGACAGAGAAACTGGGAGAATGGAATGGAGTCCATTCAAGAAGAAGGGTGTGAGGAAATGTAGTCGAGGTGACTGAAGGTGTCATTGAGTTTGTTGTGGTTACTATTGAGCAGTGTATCCCCAGAATTGGAACAGTGAAGTCAAGGAAAGGGAGGAATCAGAGGTGGACCAGGTGAAGGTGAAAGCAGGATGGCAATTGAAAGCAAAATGGATGGATTTTTCCAATTCCAGATGAGAGCAGAAAGCAACACAAATGACATCGTTCATGTGCTGAAGAAAAATTGATCGGCAAGGCCTGAGTACGACTGCAACATGGAATGTTCCACATATTCCCACAAAGAAACAGGCATAGCCTGGACCCATATGGGTATCCATAGCCATACCTTTGATTGGCAGGATACCACCACCAAACATACCCTTCCCTCTACTGCCAGCATTCTGCAAGGACTGTTCTATTGATATGCTCTAGTCCACTCCTCCATCAGTCCTAATACTACTTCTCTCACCAACCCTGACGTAGCCCACCTTTCCATGACATCTTCCCATACAATTGCAGAAGGTGTAACATTTGCCCTTTCACCTTCTCCCTCCTCAATGTCAAAGTCCCACTCACACCTTCCAGGTGAAGCAACAGTTTACTTGTACTGCTTTCAAGCTAATTTAACTGCACAATCTAATCACTCCACACGGTGCAGTCTCTTTTACATTGCAGACGTAGAGTGGTTAGGCACTTTGCACTACAAGTCTTCTGTCCATAAGGATGGTCCTGATCTTTCAATAAATCTCCATGCTCTCAAGATAAGACTTCTGTCCAAGGCCTGCTGCAGTGTTTCATTGAAGCTCAATGCAAGCTGAAGGAAGAGCACCTAATTTTTCACTTGGGCAGGTTACATCCTCGGGACTCAATGTTAAGTTCAGCAACTTCAGAAAATATCCAATATCCCCTATTTTAATTGCAACACACCCCCGACTCCATTCCTAGTCTGTGTCTTATTGGCTCTGCACTCAGCAGAGCAGATCCATTTTCTCCTTTCCACACTTTCATTCATACCTATTTAGTCTGTCACTCCCTTTGTGCTCCCTTTGCCTTTTGCTGTGGGCACCCTCACCAGCTGTTTCACTCATTCCCTCTGCCCCTCTGTTAACAGCATAAAAACACAATTTTTCGACTCTTTTCAGTTATGAAGAAGAAACACGTTGGTTTTGAAACATTAACTGTGTTTCATTCTCCACAGATGATGGCAAACCTGCTGAGTTTCTCCAGCATTGCAGATTTCAGCTTTTCTTTTACATAGAAAGTTTTTTTCACCCAGTGGAATCTGGAATGCACTGCCTAGGTAGGTAGATGAGACACATGATCTCACAATCTTTAAAAAGTACTTAAATGAGCAATTGTCATGTTGTAACGTTTAAGGAAATGGGCCAAACGCATGAAAGTAGATTTAGATGAGTTTTTTTGTCAGTGCGAACTTGATGTGCTGAAGGTCCTCTTCTGTACTGTATGATTCTATGATTTCCACATTCCACTACTTTTATTTCAGAGACACAGCTCAGGGATATTCACCTCTATCCTGAGTCACTATCTCTGCCTGAATCAGTATCGTCACAATCTCAGTGTCCTGCTTATCTTTGTGCTGAGCTTTCTGTCCATCAGTGAGACCTATTTGCAACTACGTGATACTATCACCTCTGCTCCGTTTCAGCTCACATGCTGCTGAAACAATTTTCCGTGCTTTTGTTCCCTTCAGATTCACCCAGGTGTCATCCAACTCTCCCTCTACAAGATCAGTGCATCCAGAGTCCAAGTGACAGCAACTCCAATTTCCCTATCACTCGTCCTCTTTCCAACCTTCATGAGCTGCAACATCTTACTGAAAGTTTCTGTGTGTAAATCTCTTCACCACCTCACCCCTGTCAACCTCATCAAATCAGTGGGTCACTCTCAAAATCCCTGATCCCCTGACTTTGCTCTTTTTGTGCATCTTCCATCACCGCCCCCTTGCTTTCCCCATCCCAGTTCCTTCACTTAACAGTTAATGCCACAGTTTGAGCTACTTCAGAAAACTCTCTGCCAGCCAGTCTATTAATTCTACCACTTCTCCACTTTAAGCGCTGCCTTAAACTCATTCCTTCAGCCTGATGCCCTCCTAACATCTCCTCCTTTGCCTCAGAGTCTACTAGTTCTTTGATGAATGCTTCACAAAAGGTTTCCATGTCAAAGAGCTAACTCAGTGTAAGTATTTGTGAATTGCCAGATATATCATTCTACATTTTTCTACTAAAACATATACACTTTGTCACAGATCCAAATTTCCTCCTAGTGCTCACTTTTTCATGAATTCTGTTCACCCATTTAATCTCCCACTGCATGTTGTATGGCCAATGAATGATTGCCCATCCTTCTGTCCAAAATAAAATGTGTTGCATAGTATGGGTGGATTGCGTAATAAGTTATGTCCTTTGTGTCTGTATACTTGGTGCTGTAAAAAATATAATTCAATATAGTCCAGGCCACTGATTCACAGCCTTGTTATTGTCATTTTATAACAGAGGACATGACTGAGTTATTGAACCTGGCAAGACAAAGTGGGAACTGGGATTTCTTCTCGCAGTCCAACCTACAGATCCTGTTGGGTTGCTTGATGGATGGAACAAATGAGGTGAGGTTTGAGTCTGGCTCAGTCACTAGAGAGTTTATTCCTGGTGAGTCTGGCTCACTCATAGGGAATTTATTCCTGGTCAGTTTTGTTTAGTCACTGGGGAGGTTACTCCTGGTCAGCCTCACTCAGAAATGGGGGAATTTATTCCTGGTCAGACTCAGAGTCACAGGGAAGTTTATTTGTGCTGAATCTGGCACAGTCACTGGGTGAGTTTATTCCTGATGAGCTCAGTCAATGATCAGTCTGGCTAAACAACTGAGGATTGTATTCCTGATATTGGGGTAGGGTGTTATTCCTGGTGAGTCTAGTTCAGTCACTGTGGCTTTGTCACTGTGGCTTTATTCCTGGTCAGTCTGGTTTTGACACTAGGGGCTTTATCCCAGTCTGGCTCAGTCAATGTGGACTTGGAAAATTCTTAGTCAGTCTAGCTGTATCCCTAACTAGGCTTTGTGTTGTTTTCTTTTGATGTTGATGAAGTCGGCTTCATTTCACTCTGATATGGAGGTGCCTGTGTTGGACTGGGACGTACAGGGTCAAAAGTCAGACGACACCAGGTTATAGTCCAAAGATTTCTTTTTTTTTAATTCATTCTTGGGATGAGGTTGTTGTAAAGATCACAGAATTATAGAATCCCTACAGTGTGAAAACAGGCCCTTAGGCCCAACAAGTCCACACCGACCCTCAAAGCATCTTACCCAGACTCATCCCCCTATAACCCCCCTAATCTAGGCATCCCTGAACACCAGGGGCAATTTAGCACAGCCAATCCACCTAGCCTGCACATCTTTGGACAGTGGGAGGAAACTGGAGTACCTGGCGGAAACCCCTGCAAACAAGGGGAGAATGTACAAACTCCACACAGACAGTCGCCCGAGGGTGGAATTGAACCCGGGTCCCTGGCGCTGTGAGGCAGCAGTGCTAACCACTGAGCCACCTTGCCGCCCAAAGAATGGTTGCTGGCCAGGCCAGCATTTATTGCCCATCCCTAAATGCCGTGAGGGCAGCTAAGAATCAACCACATTGCTGTGGGTCTGGAATCACATGTAGGCCAGACCAGGTAAGTATTGCAGTTTCCTTCCCTAAAGGACATTAGTGAACCAGATGGGTTTTTCCGACAATCAACAATGGATTCATGGTCATCATTAGACTCTTAATTCCAGTCTTCTTTGATTGAATTCAAATTCCACCATCTGCCGCAGAGCATTATTTGGGTCTCTGGATTAACAATCCAGCAATAATACCAATAGGCCATCACCTTCCCTATAGTTACTTGAAGTCACAAGTTTTTGGAGCTTCACCTGACAAAGAGGCGACACAACAAAAACTTGTGATTTCAAATAAATCTGTTGGTCTATAATCTGGTGTCATGTGACTTTTGACCTCGTTTCACTCTAATGGTTGTTTGTTCAGTTTGACTGAGGATATCCCCTGACCATCGTATATTCCTTTTGTTAAGATCAATGTTACAAGGGTCACTGTTTCTGTTTCTAGCCTGACTCCTCCGTTGATCACAACAAATTTTAAATTTAACCAGGTCATGTTATGCCCAGTTATATAGCTGCCGTATTTCCAAAGCAAATCCTACTAAAAGATACAAAGGTTATAAGCAAACAGTTTAAGTGATGTAATATATCTATACCATTTAAAAAAAAACTAACATAGGTGCTCAAGTCCGAGGAGAAACATAAAAATGAAATCTCTGCAGAGTCTTAACTTTAAGTTACTTTGGCAAATACTAGTTAAACTCATTAAAATAGGATAAGTCATGGAGTGTTCCAAGTGGTGTTCTGATTCCAAAGCTGTTCTGCACACGCATGCTGTGTCTTCCTGGGTGAGTTGCAGTTTGCTGAATTTCTTTTTGCTTTAGACGGTGGGAGAGATTCCAGTGAATCCTCTCTAAGAGGTTAAAAATGACTTCTGGTGGATTTTCAGCTCACACTTTGCTGAGAGGAATTGCAAAGAAAGAGGGATGGAGCAGTGGGTTGTTGCTTTTCATGCAGGTCAAGTTCACTGACAATGATTTCAAAATGCAATAGCCCATCCAATTAGGCTAAATTACCTGTGCATGTTCTCATGAACTGCGACTCCATTCCAGCTCCCTGCTCCTTACAGGTGTAACATAGTTGCCTATGTTTAAAAATTCATTTATATGGGTCCACATATTCTTCTTAAAGTATTTGAATCACACCTCTTCATAACACTGCTTTCTGTTCCTTATTGACACTTTACTGCCATTCACCTATCGTTGTTGCTTCTGTTCCAGATAAGGGAACTGGCTTCTAAATTGCTGGTGAATTACCTTCCCCTGCTCCTACCCCAGCGTCTGGCTGCTGCATTGTTTGAACATGCTGTGAAGATGTTGTGCAGTCCCAGGGTGTCCCAGGCTGAGGCTGGAGCCCTAATGGTGAAAACAGCTCTTCAAAAGTTAGTATTTAATAGGACACAGTGAGTACCAGGGAATGTCGTCATTGTTGTGATTGGGAAGAAGAGGGATGGGGCATGTTTGTTTCTGAGTGGGGTGGCTTAGGGATGGGGGGGGAGTTGCTGGGTGGTGTTGTTAACTGTTGGTAACAATTATACCGTACAGATCAGGAGCAGGAATCGACCATTCAGCCCCTCAAGCCTCTCTGCCATTCAGTGTTCATCAATGTCCTTCAAGGAAGGAAATCTGCCATCCTCACCTGGTCTGGCCTACATGTGACTCCAGACACACAGCAATAGGTAACTCTCAACTGCACTTTGAAATGGCTTAGCAAGCCACTCAGTTGAATCAATCGCTACAAAGTCTCAACAAGAAAATGAAACTGGATGGACCACCTGGCACCTAGACCAGAAAAGACAATGGCAGGAATAGCCTTGTTGACTCTGCAAAGTTCTCCACCGTAACATCTGGGGGCTGGAGCCAGGATTGTCAGAGGTGTTTCACAGACTAACATAGTCATACGCACAAAATCATACCTAACAGACAGTATCTCAGAGCCCACTGTCATTATCCCTGGATTTTCTGTCCCCCAGCAGGACAGACCCTGCAAAGGTGGCGGCACAGTGGTAGTGTTGGTAGTAAGTTGCCCTCAATGTTGCCTCACCATTGACTCTGGACCCAAAGAAGCCTCATGACATCAGGTTAAGACATGGGCAAGGAAACCTCCTGCTGGTTACTTCCCTTCATTGATGAATCAGTATGACTACATGTTCAACAACCCTTGGAGGAAGGACTGAGGGTGGCAGGGGCGCAAAATATACTCTGGAGGGGAGATTTCAATGTCCACCACCAAGAGTTGTCCTACTGACCGAGCTGTTTGTGTCCTAAAGGACATAGCTATTATACTGGGTCTGCAACAGGTGGTGAGGAAACCAATAAGAGGGAAAAAAACATACTTGACCTTATCCTTCCCAATCTGCTGACTGCAGATCCATCTGTCCATAACAATATCGGCAAGAGTGACCACCGCACAGTCCTCTTGGAGATGAAGTCGCTCCTTCACATTGAGAATACCATCCATCCCGTTGTGCGGCAGATCACCATGCTAAACAGGACAGAATTCGAACAGCAATTCAAGACTAGGCATCCATGAGGCACTGTGGGCCATCAATAGGAGCAGAATCATACTATTGCTGGCTAACTGTAAGAAGACAGAGGGTGGTGGTTGATGGGAAATGTTCATCCTGGAATTCAGTTGCTAGTGGTGTACCGCAAGGATCTGTTTTGGGGCCACTGCTGTTTGTCATTTTTATAAATAACCTGGATGAGGGCGTAGAAGGATGGGTTAGTAAATTTGCAGATGAC